GTCCTGCTGAGGGAGGGAAGCCACGAGAAATCTTTTGGTTTGAAACATGAAACCAGGGCTTTGAGAGGGGCCTGGTGGCTGGCCTTCTCTCTCTCCCTCCCTCCCTCCATGAGAGAAGAAGGGAGAGGGAAAAGGGAGAAAGGGATAGAAATATCAATGATGAGAGAAGCATTGATCGGCTGCTTCCTGCATGCCCCACACTGGGGATTGAGCCTGTATCCCGGGCATGTGCCCTGACCGGGAATCGAACCATGACCTCCTGGTTCATGGGCCGATGCTCTACCACTGAGCCACGCTATCCGGGCATGGCCTTGTCTCTTGCAGGAAGGCTGGAGAGTTGGGGAATTCCTGGGCCAGGCTCCCCTGCTGCCGGCCTCAGTTTCCCAACCTGTAAATGGGGATCCTAACACCAAATGGTCCCCAGGTCCTTCCAACTCTGACTCTGATTCTGAGAAAACTGGCTCCTCGATGGCCTCATCCCAGGGGAGGGTGGGCCGCCCAATCTCCCCAGAGCCCCCACCTCCATTTCCGGGCACCACAGGCAGCTGCAGGCCTGCCCCACTCCGCGCAGGGGGTGTTTCGATCCGGCGCTTTGGGGGCCTCCATTCACAACGGCAGAAAGAACCACACTGGGCTGCGAGGCCTCCAGCGAGCTCCCTCCCCGTCAGAACCCCATTGTCACTGTCTCCCAGCTCCATCCACTTCCTGCCCACACTCCAGACCTCTCACCCTCCCTATGTATCCGTGGAGCAGGAAGCCAGTGCTGGAGAGGAGGGGTCACTGAATTTATTTGGCTCCGACGTCGAGAAAAAGAATGAGCAGGAGACCTCCCTTGTGGGCACTAGGAGAGGGCCCTCCTGGGCCCCATCCCCCGCCCTGGGCAGTGGTACAACGAAGGGTCAGGGGGCTTGGGGCTGCTGGTCAGGCCCCCTGGATGGGGAGTTGTGCCCTGCTCCCCCTGACCGTCCCTCCCCCTCCCTCCCCCCCAGGTGGCTTTCCTACCTCCTGCTCTTCATCCTGGACTTGGCCGTCTGCCTCATCGCCTGCGTGGGACTAGCCAAGCGCTCCAGGTGTCTCCTGGCCTTGTAAGTAGCCCGGCCTGTGGGCCTGGAACAAAGATCTGGGCAAGCAGGTGGGGTGACGGGGCCACCAGCAGAGAGAGGGGGACCCGGTCAGGCTCCAGGGAGGTAGCGGGAGCAACAGCCTGCAGCGCCCAGCCAAGAGGAGGCAGCAGCCACCACCCCGTTATCTGGACCCCAAGCAAGGGCTGGGCTTTCCTCTCTGTGTCCCCAGTCCTGGGCCTGCCCAGGCATTAGCCTCCCACCGTCTCTAACCAGCACCCCCTCAGCCAGCACCCCCTCAGCTGCCTCCAGCATAGCGACCTATATCCCAGTGTTGGGTCCTTCTCCTGTCCCGGCAGTCAGCAGGGCCGATGTGAGGGCAGGGACCAAGACTCAGGGGTCAGGGAGGGCAAGTTCATGCCAATAGGTAGGGTGCTGAGATTGTGGGGTGACAGCCATCATGGGGTCCCCTGCCTGCCAGCGTTTGCCTGGATCCCACCGCTCTGCCTCTCTCCCAGGCTGCTGTGCGGTGGGCTGCTGGCCGTGATCCTCAGCTGGACATCCCTGGCCGCCGACGCCGCTGCAGCCGTGGTGGGTGGGGGGGGAGGGGGGGGGAGTGGTCTGACCAGGACCGGCTGAGGTGGGTGGTGGGTGGTACCTCTGTGTCCTGCCCAGAGCCCCCAGGGCAGGTCCGCTTCCAGTCTCTGTCCCTAAGCTAGAACCCCAGAATCTCAGAGCTGAAGGGCCTTAGTCCTCCCACACCAGCCCCCCTCACCCTTCAGAGGGGGACCCAGGCCCAGAAGAGGAAGAGGCTTCCCCAAGATCATGAGGCTTTTGGCCACGATAATAAGACCGCTGAAGCCTGACCTTTGCCCCCACCCTGCCCGGTCCCAGCCACCGGCTTCCTGCTTGTACGGACGTGCGTGGGTGACGAGGTGACGGCTCTCCGGGCTTGAAGAAGTGACCGGGACGGGTGGGGCCTGGCCTGGGCAGGAGGAGCCCTCGGGCTTCGGCAGCACACCCTGTGTGCCAGGGCCTGTGAATGAGCCTTTGATTGGCTGCAGATCCTGCCGCATTTTAATAGGAAGCGGGGAGAGGAGGAGCCGGGAGCCGGGAGCGGGGAGGGGGGCGGCAGGCCGTCCCAGGCTACTGTGGGCAGCTTTTGTGTGGCCTCCCTGCCCCTGCGCACTGAGGCCTGGCTTTTGTTTGTTTTGTTTTGTTTTGTTTTGAGAGCTGTGGGGTCAGAGAACTGACACTGTGACCCCCTGTCACCCACCCCTCCTGCCTTTCTGTCCCCCAGAAAGGACCTCCTCAAGGAGGGAAGGGGCATTAGGAGGACTGGCCGAACAGCACCACTCATTTGAGGGGAGCTCCCCGGGAATCCGGGCACTCCTTCCCCGCAGTGGGCCCCTGGGAAGGTCACTGAGGTTCTCCAGGCCTCAGCCTTCTCCTCTGTAAAATGGGGAGAATCATAGCCCTTGCCTTAGAGCAGTGGTTCTCAACCTTCCTGATGCCGCGACCCTTTAATACAGTTCTTCATGTTGTGGTGGGGGATG